ATATATATATATATATATATATATATATATATATATAAATAAATAAATTATTTTTACTGGATACCCGTATTTAAGTAGAAGCTCCTCTTATTTAAACATTATTTATTTCTACAAAAATACAGTTATGCTCCAAATATAACGTTTGCATAAATAAAATATTTTGGATTAGCCAATCAAATTCATGAAATATATATATATATATATATATATATATATATATATATATATATATATATATATATATATATATACAGAGAGAGAGAGAGAGAAGGAAAAGAAAGGGTGACAGACAAACAAAGAGTGACAGACAGAGAAAGAAAGTATTAATAAAATTTGTCATTTAATTTAATTGGGGTTACGTTCCACATCGCGTTTCCATTGTTTCATAAACGGAACCTTCCACAATTATATCGTCCATATATATTGTTTAACAGAATGTTAATTCTTGAGAATTATTTATTTATTTATTTGCATTTCGGGCCACATTTCTGGTTCCCGTTGCATATATTCGTGTGATTTATTTTTAATTTTATGATTATTACTTCTAACATTTGTAGTCGTTTTTTTTCCCATTTATCTAATATAATACGTTAGTGTTATTTCTAAGGGTCTGTCATATTAATTGGTGATTATTGTGTAGTTGGTTCCAGTAACATAGATTAATAACGCTTTATTGTTTAACTTTTATCCCTTATATGTTTAGGGAAATTATTAGCAATTAATATTGGGTTAATATCTTTGAGTTTGTTATAAAATATTGTATTTGATTTATTGAATAATTTATTCTTGTTATTTTATATCTGTATGGGCCTTCACTGCTGTACGCTTACGGTTAAATTGCACTGAAAACACTGGTCCTCGTTCGATTACAGAAGTTTGGTACGGTCAGTACTTCGATGGGGGACCGCTTGGGAACACAGATTAGAGTAAACACAGATACTTCGGCTTTAGATTGTAGGCATTCGAATGGCAATAGTCTCCCTTTGGTTAAAACGAGGGTCACATGACGGCGTGACGTGGATCGTGGAGTGATAAAACTTCCGTTGCTATTTAGCACACGTAAAGTCAAAACATATCTAACTAACGCCAGTTACTGATGATAGACCTCGAAGACTGTAGACGTCATATCAAGACCACAGCGATATGGAGAAAAGAAGAACCCACATGGTACTTTGAATTTCATAGGACATACCCACTTCCGCCTGGCCTTTTTCCCTTCAAGAAATGTTACAAGTAAGACCCTCTCGCTTCTTGCCTTTCCTCACTGCTTGTTTTTTTTCTCATATGTTACAATTTCTTTGTTTTTTACAAATTAGTGACAAATATGTTTATACATTCTTTTTTATAGATACAAATATTTAAGTAAATGTTCTGTTTATAATAAACAGTATTAACAACATTTACCAGCCTAAATGTCCGAGAAATTGTCATAGAAATCTATAAAAAAAAGAATTTATAAGCATAAAAATGTCTTAAAATAATTGTTGAACTTTGTCCATTTCATAATGTGTGACAAATATGTACATATGTGTATATAATTTCTGATATGATACAGTGTTATAAAAACTCTTTGAGGATGCTGTCTGTTTGATATTCCTTTCTTTCAGATATCTCTCCCGTCCACGGATTAAGGTGTTACTATATCACCGACCACAGGGTAATGGATATCGGCTCGGATTGAGGAATCGGAGAAGCGAGTTCGAATCCCAGTCGAGTTCATTACATTCACTTATGTGCCAATGGATATGAATCCATCATTTCTCCCCCAGATATGGTTAAATAGCAGGATAGACTTGGTTTTATAGCCTTTGATAGCAACCAGTCAAAGAGAAGGACAACTCTGAATTCAGACCAGGCCACACAGGGTTGGTCTCTGTCATCTTTCCTTGTCACTACTGCTATGGCTGCCGTAGATATGTTTATACATCCTTTTTTATAGATACAAATATTTAAGTAAATGCTCTCTTTATAATAAACAGTATTAACAACATTTACCGGCCTGAATGTCGGAGAAATTGTCATAGAAATCTATAAAAAAAACAATGTATATGCATAAAAATGTCTTAAAATATAAAAATGACCACGATCCAAAGTGGTTACGGGACTAGTGATTTCACAGATATAATAATACCTAGAACGGTGAAATGTAAGCTGCAAATATTTTTCTAGTCTAGCACTGACATTAAAATAATCCACAAAGACTTGATACGCTGTAAAAACTAGACCAATTCGTCGCTGTTGTAACTAAGTAGCCATCAGCTTAAGTTGCTTATCTTTTCATAGACTGAGGTTCTAAAGTGTTCATTATTCGAATCATTTCTTCTTCATGTCCCCTCAAGACATAGCTCTCCCCAACTTTGTGGCTCTTAATAAAATTTTTTTTTGTTATTTCTCCCAAACCTTGTTCCGCCATCCATTTACTGTTATGCATTGTTTTCTTCCGTACTTCTTGCTTTCTATCTGCCTTATGAGTATCAAACTTTCCAACCCTCTTTCCTTA